ACACCCAAATGTTTTATGTTGGGTGCACAAAGAACTATTCTGCAAGTGAACAAAATTCAACAAATTCTAACTACTTACACAATCAATTGTCTCAATGCAACATGTTGCAACAATTTCCACTAATTGTTCCTCTATAAATTCAACGACAGCATATATGTTGTTTGCCATCTATAACAGAAACAATAATTAAACAAATTGCATAATTTTTTGGATTTTAGAGGTGCAGAATTATAATTAAAACAAGTACCTTCAGTGCAGAGTGCTGTTAGTATTTTGTGTGCAATATAGCCATGAATATAATTTTGTCAGGGCCAAGATTAATCTTTATGGCTTTTCTCTTGAGATCTGTGGAAGGCAGTAGTCTCATATTTGTCAAGCGTTGGTTAGCCTTGTAAGCACCAATGAGGCATGAATCACATGGAGTCATGAAGATGGATTCAGTTTTGCTATAAACTCGGCATTGAAATAATTCATCCCATTGTGATCATGATTGCCAGTCTTATCTACTACTTCACAACATGATGATTCAGACAAAATAAAAACATTATCTGGATTTTTTACAATGACTGCATCCTCATCTACAAGTTCAATGGGGCCAGAGTGTTCACTCATGCGTTTTGCAATCTGTGCAATTGGACTCTTCCCTGATCGCACAAGACGTTTCAACTTTTGCATGTAGTTTTCAAATGGGAAAGAACTACACGCGTCTAAACTTTCAAACTCTTCAACCACATCTGCCAAATGAACCATACTATGCACATTATATACCCAAAACTCATCACCATACAAACATTTGCCTTGCTCAACAAAGTATTCTATGAGTTGCTTTGCATATTCCCTGTAAGACTTAGCTAACATAGGGCACACCAAAATGCAGCTAGCAACGCTAAGAGATAAGAAGTGCTCATATAAATCTGGTCTTAGGATACCGGATAAACAATTTTTCCAGTATACAAAAGAAATTGCCGAAACTCAGTGGCCTTCCACCGATCAATTTCTGCTAAGCTCTGTGGCTTACGTACAAATGTGCTGGGTATGGAAGACTTGACCTCTATCAATTTAGTACTGATAGACTCCGCCTGGCCAGCCGATATCTTAACTTCTCGCTTTCCTCGTAACCATAGCAGAAGCAATTTCTTCATGACGCCCAGACACAATTGATGCATGTAGTCCATCGGAAATTTCTTAATCATATCAACTGGCAATTTACTGAAGGGAATAACACCATTATGATGCCCTTCATGCACTTGTTCTCTAAAAGAAAGATCTGTCCGCAACTCAACATTTCTAATCAGAGAGTACACAACACGACCAACCCATATGCCCTTCTGTGCACATTTATCACACCCAAAATAGCCAGAACACAACTTTGTGCCTTTTACAAGGGCTCTAGCGGGGGCATCACAAACTACACATTTTAAACAAACTGAAAGAACAGTTTCACCGTCTTGGAGCCCATTCTGTAGAAGATTATTCAAATCTCTAATTAGGTCTTCCAAAAAATGCAAATCATCTGGTTTGGAATTACCACAGGTTAAAACCACTGGGAAAACAACTACAGGTGTGATATTTACAATGGCACATAATACTGGCCATAAACACTTCCTTGAACTCTTAATAATGGAAGACCATCAACATTCAAAGAAATTTCAAGAGAATTAGTCCTAGCAATTACATCTGAAGGATATTTCTTAAAGTGTTTCAACAATTGATTAGCAAGAGGAAAATAAACATATTCCAATCCAGACTTTTCCTGAATGGTTATATTTCTGGATGTGTGCAGCAAGGCACGAGCAGTAAGAGGCAAGTTTGGATGCCCATTCTCTTTCAACACAGAAAGAAGACCATCAAGTGCATTATGTTTTATCATAAACCTAAACGCGTTCCAAACTATTTTCAATAATTCCAAACTATTTTTTTTTCCGCAAAATTGATGAAAAAAACCAAAAAATTGAAAGATTTTCATTTATGAAATCAAATTGGCGTTTTTTGCAGACAGTTTTTAGGGACTCTGCCAAAAACAACGTATTGAACTAAACGAGACATCATTCTATCAACTGCGACCTGAGATAAATAAGATATCTGAATTTCAGACACCTAAAACAAATCTGAGTTTGCCAAAATCTGATATATTACCGACAAATGATAAATGGGGAAGCTGAATTTCAGACATCTAAAACGGCTCTAATCTGCCAAGATTGTGTATATTAACCAACCTGAGATAAATAGGGTGTCTAAATTTCACACAGCTAAAATGGTTTGAGTCTGCCAAAATTCAAAATATTTTAATGTTAACCGACAAGCGATAAATTTGGAAGCTGAATTTCAGACACCTAAAACGGTTTGAGTCTGCTAAAATGGCATATTTAACCGACCTGAGATAAACAAGGTATCTGATATTCAGACACCTAAAACGGTTTGAGTCTGCCAAAATTCAAATATTTTAATGTTAACCGACAAGCGATAAATTTGGAAGCTGAATTTCAGACACCTAAAACGGTTTGAGTCTGCTAAAATCGCATATTTTAACCGACCTGAGATAAACAAGGTATCTGAATTTCAGACACCTAAAACGGTTTGAGTCTGCCAAAATCTTATATTAACCAACCTGAGAAATTAAGGTATCTGAATTTCAGACACCTAAACGGTTTGAGTCTGCCAAAATCGTATATTTTAACCGACCTGAGATGAATAAGGTATCTGAATTTCAAACACCTAAAATGGTTTCAGCCTGCCAAAAATTCAAAATCTTATGTTAACCGACAAGCGATAAACTGAGAAGCTAAATTTCAGACGCCATAAACGGCGTGAGTTTGTCACAAATCTGATATAAACAATTAAATGAATCGAGATTAAAGGCTGAATATCAGTTTGTACTGTCACCGATCGTGTACTGAAATAAAAAGCACTTTTTCAGAGTGTAGCCCAATTTCAGAAAAATATTGGTTTGACTGTTTCTTTAAATCATATGTGCATAATTCAAAAATGAAACACATCTAAGCAGAGATGAGATTTTAGAGCCAAATTTTAGTCCGCGATCAACGTTTTATGGGTTTTCAACAGCAGACACCAAAACGGCTTGATTCTGTCAAAATCTTATTTATCAACCGACAATGCATGCAGCGAAACCGACCAGTGAAAAATTGGGCAGCTGAATTCCAGAACATAAAGCGACTTGAGTCTGCCAAAATTTAGTTTACCTGCAGACCTTCACATCACAACCAAAATACTAAAGTCAAATGCAAAGAATCATGTATATAGAATTATATAATTAGTTTTTCAAATCACAAAATTTTGCGCAATACGTTTCTTGCTTCTTCTTCATTTGGTGTTAAGCATAAAACATTCCTGCCTTCCTTCATGGCTGCAGCAGCTCCAGCAACTGAAACAGTCATAAAAATAGATCAATTTAGTTGGAATGTTATACTGCATAATATTTAATTATGTTTTTTATGGGAAACTTTTAAAATATGCTGCGCGAATAGGTGAATAAACTGAAGGAAGAAAGCTAGTGATCCAATGATAGTGTAAAGTTGCATAATGGGACACAGCTAATCAACCTTATCATTTTAGCTCCCATATTGAAAGGTTTCAATTTTGCATTAACAAGAAAGTTTCTCCAAATTTTGGTCAACTTGACGAAAAGCCTAATTAACATTTAAATAAGACAAAAGAAATTGTCTAAATAAAGTTCAAAGCGCTGAGATAGTTGAATAAACCACTACGAACAGAAATGACCTTCACCACTGACTAGATGATTGACTATGTCCTTTGAATCCGCCACCCATCAGAACAGTGTAAATGAAACTTCACAGTAAAAGCGGTTAAGTTAAATTATTTTTTTGTATCAACGATTAACAACACGATTACACCAGTTGTTTCCAGATAATTCATTGTAACTAGTCGGCAGCAACAATGTGAACAGTGCATAAAAATTATTAGTATTTCATCAGTACTGGTATAATTGCATACCTTGTGGCGTATTACGTCAAGAATCCAATCGCCTGGTCTACTGAACATTTCAACTACAGAATGCCACACCTGCAACTCCTTGTGCTCTTGACTTACAATAATAAAATTCTCAGTGCAGGCAGTGAAATTAAAATGATCTTGCAGCAGCCGTTGCCCAGGCGCCGCATGGTAGAGGAGAAATCCCTCTACAGCCCGTACCATACCAACGCTAGGACCTGTAAAATGCAGGAACAATGCGTAAGTTAATTTTGTTGTATGCGTTGCAAAATACGGTTACAGTTTACAGTAGGTATGCTTTTATGCGTGTAAATTTGACGTATTTTCGAGTGTACGTGAATTTGAACTTCTAATTTTACAGTTGAATGGCAGAAATAACAAACGCAGACAAGTTCAACTAAATTTTGTTACAAAAATAAAATCTAAAAACATTGCATCGCGAGAACCTCTAGAAAATACCAGGATGCTGTTTTAACAAAATAATCTATGGTGAGCAGAAACCCAAAAGGTGGATTAAACAAAGTGATTAAGGACCTTACGATTGACAATTACACCAGACATGCGGCTAGCTGCAATCGACAAACTATTGAAGATAGTATTTTGGGGCCAATTATTAGATGATAGAGCTTCGGGCATTTGCTAATTAAAATTGAGGCATAAATTCTCTACGACAGACACGGTTATCCCTTTGCCGTAAACGTGAACATTAAAATCTTACTTTTACATTGCCCGTTAATATGCTAATATATACCTGCTGGTTTAACTCCTTTAACACATGCAAACCAAGTTGGCAGATTCCACGGTGTTCCTCGATCCATTTTTTTATTTCCATTAATTGATGGATATCCCCCATTATTGCTACGTTGAAAATGTGGCACACACCAAAATTTAAACGGTCCACTAGTCCAGCAAACCTGCAGCAAATGTTGTCACATCATTTTCTAAAAAAATCATTGTGAAAAAGAAAGTATGTTCAGTATACACCTTTTTCACAATTATCACAGTTGTACATATACAGTACTATTGGTACATTAGGTCAATGTTACATCACTATACTGTACTTGATGTGGTGAAAGCTTACATAAGGCTAATGAAAATCCTTTTTCTTGCCCGTATGACCCTTGCTGCAGTCCCAGTGGGTCAACACACATGTGGACAACGCCCCTTGTTCCCTGGTCCATCAGAAATACATTGGGTGATACAACTAGTGGCTGGTCTGATTCCTCGATGGTCAGACTCTTTTGCAGATATTCCAAGTATTGTCTGAAAATAAGGTTGGTTTCATCTTTTCCCTAGTAAATAGAAACACAGCTCTACTGAATGTGCGAAACATAGGAAAATGTTTGCAGACTAAAATGGTCATCAAATAGGTAGCAGAATTGAAAATTGAAATCTCCCAAGGAACATGTAGCAGGGCTGATTTAATGTTTATTTTCAAGCTACTAGTAGTTTGAAATGTTTCTAGTAGTTTGAATTATTAATTTAGAAGTCAGTTCAAATACTCAACCTCAGCATAGAGAGAAGAGCGGATATTTTCCATTCTACAAACCTGGATCAAAATATCAAACTGCCTGATACAATACATACATACTGTATACTTACTGTAAATTTCCTTAACTGGTCAACGCTGACTTTCTCTCCCATTTTTGCACTAAGCAATTCCCATTTACATCCAAGAAATGAAGAAATCACTTTTTGAACAGGCTTCAGTACTTTGCACTCCTTGCACAATAATTTCAGTTCATCCAGACTGTTACTTTGGTCAGCAACCTAAAAAAAACAACAGATTTAGAATGATGATTGGATTTAATTTAAAGGGCACAATTATATTTTAATAAACTAAGTGGTTAATTAGTAAATAAAATTTTTAACAGATCACAGAGGCAAAAAAATAAGCTAAGGGGCATCTTACGCCTAAAAATGGAAGAAATATCTTTACCTGACCCAACAGAGCAACACGATCTGAAACGTCGAGGCCAAATAAGCATTTGATGTATGATGGCTTGAACCTCGGCTTTTCTTGTAGGTCCTTTGCCATTGCTCGCTGGTCTTTCAGAAGACCTTTTTCATATTTTCGGTACATCTCAAGGAATGACTGATAACCATCTTCTGGGAGAGCAGCAACAAGAAATACATCAGAAAGATTTTTCTTCTAAAAAAAGTACAACATTTAACAAGAATATTAATTACTCAGTGTAAGTGCTTTATTGATCAGCAAGTTAATTTAAAATTATTTCATTAAACAGGTTTAGGTTTAGTACAGATTATAATTACATCTGCTTTCTTTTGATAACCCATTCACTGGTGGCAAGACTTTCACTGGCAAGCAAAATCACCTGGTGTTCACAATATATTACAAATTGAATAAACTAAAAAGTTTACTCACTGTCTTTCCTAATATGTGGGAACATCTGTCTCTCCATTGCTGACTAGGAACTAAATCATTGTTCTCATTTTTTGTACCAATGATCTCCAACTGCCTGTGAGCAACTTCCACCTACAGCAGAATAAAAAAATGTTTGTGATCACAGCTTTTTTAACCCACTGACTGGTAAATCACCCAAATGATTGCTGCTGCAATTAATAATTTGTAGTTTCTACTGCAATTGCCTGTGGCAGATTACTGCTAATTATTATCGTAAGTAACTCAGACCACTATAACCAATAATTTACCATTGACAATTTTGGTATGTACTTGAGAAAAATTTCTGGTATTTGACAAAGCAAAGTTGAATAAGTTAAGAAGTTGGGTACTCATTACTACTGTGACACTAATGGGTTCCTTAAGTAACTTGTTGACTGACTGTTAAACTATAACAAACAACCACTCCCTCTTAATATTTAACAATATTAGAATTGCCTTTCTACAGAACTTGCCTCATCTTTGAATGTCATTTCATGACGGAAACACCCAGTCTTATTATGCCTTGACGCCAGCCATAAAGCTTAAAAATTTGTTAACCCAACAAATATTCTTGCATATCTTCCCTTATACTCTTCACTATCAGGGTGCTTCTCTAAAAGTTGCTTTGTGCCAACAAGTTATGCGTACCACCAAGTACCTCATACTGATAGCTGCTGACATCTGATTTTGAAAAGTTCTCCTTTCTGTTCAGACCTTTTACCAACAAGTAAAGAGGTTATATGAGCCATTGGGGTTACTTTCCATATTTGCTTTTAATTGGGCCAAAAATATTTCATCCACTTTTCTGATCATTCTGTCTGCTGGAGGTAGTTCAATATTGCCAACGGAACATAGAATTGCTCATCTATTCAAAGTTATGAAAAGACATGCATGATATTACTGCCAAATGAAGGTGCACTTATACAACTTGAGTAAGCTAGAATGGTAAAAAGGAAACCATTGGGCAAAAAAAGCTGGTCATATTGAAAGAAGTAATTGTGTAGCAGGGATTTTAATTAAGAAAATGACTTGATAATTTAAGCCTTAATTTAAACTTGATAATTTCTGTAAAAAATTAATTAACTTCATTGTGGTTTAGTCAACAAAAAATATCATATGTATATATTTAATTTCTACATACCAACTTCGCATTCTTTTGCTCTTGTTTGGTATTGTAATTCTTTAACCTCTTCATCTTGACACTTTTTCTTGGTTAGAGGAGTATCAGCTGTTCCACAAGAGATGAAGATCCCTGTTTTAAATTTATAGCTTCATCTTCATTAGTGATTAAAACAGGCTCGGAATCCTAGGATCCACCTTGATTTTGTTGATCTTGACCATCATTAGCGCAATCTTGCTTTTCTAACTTTTTAATGGCTTCATTGCATTATGCAGCCGATTGTTGCTCATTTTCAGTCGCAACAATTTCACGGAAAAGCCCATTGCTTGCTGACCAGTCATATTTCCCTGTGGAGAAGAAACAGTGTTCTCTTTTGCCATCTGCCCCTCGAACGAAAATCAACTATAAAATATGAATAAAATAATAATTTTTACATAGAATCAATCAAAATACATTATTAATATAAGTACGGATAGCTGGCATCATTATTTGAAGCATCTAATAGGTGAAACTATCATCCATAACGCGCTCATTCATTGTGTAGTGCCCAGTTTATAACACACTAGCAATATTTCTGTGTAAAAATTTTACAGGGACAAATGCTAGGACTAAGTTTCCAACCCTTGGACCAAGGGTTTTAAATTAATTTTAAAAAAGCTGACTTTGTGTTTGACACTGAATCATTTTCCTAAAACATTAATCACTAATCTTTCACGACGTAGAATTTACGCATGTAAAATTCCAACTAACCGAAAGCTATTTGTTATTTTAAGGCTTAAATGTAGAAATGGATATTTGTTTATCCATAGGCGGCCCAGAACTGATCTCGCTGACCTCGCGCGATGACTACCTTGTCATAATATAAGACTGTTCAGACAACATGAGGTCGCGCGAGGTCAGCGAGATTAGCGAGATCAGTTCAGGGTCCCACGCATCATACGTAGATCAGGGCCCAAATCGCCGTTTCACCGCCCTATCATTCATTTTTTAATCTATGGCCCTATCTTATATGCCCTGATCAATTACAATGCACTTATAGTCTCAAACTCGAATATTATCGCCCCGTCGTAAAATAGGTGGTTTCTGAGGGCCGAGGCGCCATTCCTTTTTTAGAAAAGCTAGCACGAGCATTATCATAGACTGTCAGAATTCTATCATTTATACTTTGCAACCTCAAGATAGAAATCTGCTAAACATTGTAAAACTATAAAACTTTATATTTCAGTCAGACTGCTCAATATGGAGTTTTATAAACTATAACAGTCCATTATTACTAAACCTTGGCTTTAGCCATATTAATTTTGATGGTGTATACTTCATAATGAAATTTAAATTTCATGCGATTATGTTACGGCGTGCGTTTTGGTATATGACTT